ATACGTGTAGACTCTCAAGTCCTATTGTAGCCTACTCCAGCACGCCACACGTGACAGACGCGTCAGAGGCGTACGCTCATTTTTGATGGCAGTGGCATGCAACAATTCAACATGCTGAGGCTTTAGCTGCCACAAAACAAGACAAAATGAAGACACAATTTTTAAAAGAGAGAAAAAAAAATCGCTAGCAAATAAGAGTGCATGAGGGTTCACATGAACGGGAAGGATATGTGTGGCAACAGGAAGTATCTATGTACCTATGTAGCTGCACAAATTATTCGCATCCAACTCATGCAAGCTCTTTGTCATTTACCAAAATGGAAGAGCAACAGTAATGACAGCATTGCTAAAATGCGAAAGCGTTGGTGCGGCAAGCTCATTGCACGGTTGCATGATTACGAGTATATAGCAGAGCTGTTGCGTGTCTGTGCAACGCATGCCACACGAATATGCCACTTTATTAACACAAATTTAAAGTGTGCAATTTTTATGGGCAACGTATATGTACACATACATACTTATGTAGATACTTACTAGTAGATACCTATGTACGTCAGTTGATGCGCTTTCAAATGGAACACTGAAAATGTTTGCTGATGCACCTTCCGTTTGGAGATCAAAACTGTTTGGTATATTTGCGCCAAGATATTCGCATTTTCTGGCGAGAAAATATAAAATTATGTAATCTGTAAGTCTGGGCTCAGCATTGGTCTTAAGGCAGCACTCCACTTCAAGGAACGCTAGATTCTAGCCGTTAGACTGACAGGTACGAAATGACTTACCAAGCACCAAAACAAAGGTTACATATTAATAACTTTTTTCTTGACCCTCTGCGCCAGCGTGAGACGAATTTAATTTACGAACGAAATTTATCATAAGCTTATAACTAATCTGATAATTTTTTTGTCGAAATGGATCACCTTTGTTAATATATGGTTCGTTGTTGGGCTTTTAAAGCAAATCCTTTAATTCTCATTTGTCCTGTTAAATTTTTGTAAATCCCATATTTTTGGGATAAATTATGCACTTGTCTCGTATGGATGGAAAAACAAAATCTGGCAACACTAATTTCCTAGTTTGATGCGTACACTTGTGGCACGTAAAATAGTACCAAATACACACATACATACATATATAGTTTTATCACTATAACCTTCTGTAGTTAAGTTGACATGCCCTTAAACTGGATATGCTAAAGTCCTATGGCCTGAAGGTAGCACTACACGTAACTGCTAAAGAAATTCCTTTAAGTATCCACAATTCCCTCGTTTGCCTTACGCTTCTGAGTGCGGCGCACAATGCAGATGTTCAGTTGTGCAATTTATGTCAATGCATCGCACAATATGCAAATGTGGTAATCCACTTGGGTATATTTAACTACTGGTTCCGAGTTTCAGAAACGCAGACTACTAAATCATACATATATATGTACAATTATGTGTATGTATGCACAAACTTATAAATACTCTAATTATTTGAATATATATTTGCTTCTTTTAAGTGTGTATAATTATAAACAGTTTCTGTTGTTGCATTCGTAGCAGTCACTGCAACTGCAAAGAAAATGTGGCACAGAAGTAAAAAAAGTGACTCTTCTGTATTTCATTATGTACATCGGGAATGCTATGTGTTTTTTACAAATGTAAACATTTAGACAATTTTCTA